GGCTCAGTGGTTGAGCACTGACCTATGAACCAGGAGATCACAGTTTGATTCCTGGTCAGGGCACATGTTGGGGTTGCAGGTTCTATCCCCAGTGGGGCGGGAGGGGGGAGGGTGGCGGGGGGGAGGAAGGGACGTGCAGGAGGCAGCTGATCAATGATTCTCTCTCATCCTTGATGTTTCTATCTCTTTCTCTCTCTCTTCCCCTGTGAAATCAGTAAAATAAAAATAAAATAAAAAATAAAAAGACTGGACCCTGGCAATGCCTTGCTGCTGACTAGTTGTGTGATCTTGATCGCATCCAACCAGGTCCCTGAAACTAATGCTCTTTGATAAAACAAATCCATTTGTATCTTGCTTTGTATTCCACTTCTAATTCTATTCTTCAATGTCCAATATATTTACCTTTTCACAATCATGTTTGCAATAGGTTACTATTCTCTCACAAGAAAAGATCAGAAAAATAATTCTCCTAAGCTAGCCCTCCTTGTCTTATTATGACATGAGTTGCTATAAAGGGGCAGTAGCACCTCTCAGCATAGCAGCTGCAGGACTCTGGGTTGTTTTCTAGTTAGGCTGATCTATTATTTTTAGGTAAATAGCAATTCCTTTTTTGTTTGTTTGTTCTTGTTCCCAAGAGGGCTGTTGTGTCCCCCAAACACCTTCCGATCCCCCTCTGCCATGGTGGATGTGACAAGGTCAGCTGGCTTCCAGAAGACAAAGTATTCAGTAATGTTCAAAGAGAAAAGATCATCTCCAAGCTTCTTAAAGAAAGTGTCCTAAAGAGAGTGTTCCGTTCAAAGCAAATGAGGTGGGAGGGTCCCGACCACCAGAAAGAGGAGCCAAGCTCCAGCTTTCCTGGCGCCAGAAAGTAAGTTCTGATGCTAAAATTTAAATCAAAATTCAAAGTAAATTTGACAGAAGGCTAAGAAAACCAGTTACAGAATATATGCATCTGAAGGACAGGAAGACGTTTTAAACAATTCAACCTGTAGAAACCAGGTCTTGCAGAAAAATCTAAATAAAGGTAGAAATATGGTTGAGCATTTATTCAAAAGTACTAACTGAAACATATGTAGATGTAGAATTTACTGATGTAAATTTCTTACTTTTGGAAATATATATGTATCACTATCACATTCATTCTAGGAGTAAATACATTTTAAACAAGATTTCACATATTTTTGCAATAGAATGGTGGCCTATCAAATAAAGAAACAGTATTAAAGGATAATTTTTCAAACAAAAACACAACTTTTAACAAAATCTTTTCACTTATACTTCTTAAAAAGGGATTATAATTATAAAAATTATACAAGTAAGTTAGGGTAGTTAGAAATGGAATCCTAAATAAGAGATAAATATAATTGGCTATGACTGAAAGACAAAGGGAATAAAAAACAAGTTAGCTAAATCAGCCACTAAATACAAACTGCTCATAGTTGAATTGAAATGTTCCCCACTCACTTAGCATCTACATGAGAACAAAAATGCATATTATTAATTGGAAAATATTATCCTTACTTTCTGAAAATCTATAATAATAAAAGCGTAATATGCTAATTAGACCGAAGTCCATCCTTCCATCCTTCCGGATGAAGCTGGGACTGCGAGGGAAGCCTGAGTCCCTCCCACTAGCTGGGGGGAAGCCTGGGTCCCGGGTGCCAGAGGAAAGCCAGTGCCGGCAGCCAGGGGAAGGAGGGCCTACTCTCGCATGAATTTCGTGCATCAGGCCTCTAGTATTTACATAATTACACTGAAGAAGACTCTATTGTAATATATGACCAACCATGACCTTGGCAATAATCTAGGGAAAAACAAAGGGAGGTAAATGGGCAACATAAAAACATGAGAGGTATCAAAAGAGGTAGACTGAAACAGAAGCCTTTTCCCTCCAGAATAAATAGAAACTAAACAATGTTATTACTGGCATTTATTTGCATAACCCTGGACTATGAAAAAAAAATGTATATCAAAGTGCTTTCCAAAATAGCTATCTGGTGGTCAGTATGTCACCTTTGTCACAGTAGGAGAAATTGAGGTGGGCAGCAAGGCATGCTTACCTACTAAGTGGCCCAAGGCTTTTCTTCTTTTCCACCAATTCAGACCACCTTCCTTGTAATTGATGTAAGGGCTTGTTGAATGACAGGAGACAGGGAACATCAACCTTACCCTACACCACTGGATTAGCTAAAGGGGTACTGGTTTCAGTGGAAGCCTGAGACTCCCACTAAAAATTGAATTCATAGTGCCTTGGGATGACCTACAAGGAAGGTGTGTGCTTTGGGGCTGAGAACTAATGTTAAAGCTGGACCAGACCCAGTATGGAAAATAGCCCACTTCTAATTAATCCCCTTGCTCTCAAGGCTGGACTTGAGCCAAACTATACTCAAGAGTTTGGAGAAGGCGTTGTTCTCTTAGTTGTTGCCCTTATATTTCACAGTACCACATTTCACATTTAGTTCTTCTCTCTCTTAACCTTGTCTCCTCACCACTTAGAATGAGTGTTCCCCTATAAATACTGTACAGGGACTATCATTTTAAACGTGTAATGCTAAAAACTGTCAGTTCAACAAGTGGAGGTGCGGGGATGGTACATGATTTTGAGGCTGATGTCAAAGTGTTCAAAGGTTCTGCAGAGAAAGGAAGATTTTAGAAATACGGGGAAAAAAGAATCTTAGAGGATGTATTAATGGATGACAAACTCAGAGGGACTTTAGGGTCAAGAATCAGCTCAAATTCTGAAACAAAAGCAAAAAGCAGAAGCAGAAACATGAAGCAAGAAAGACGGGAGATGTGTGAAATGCATGCATGCATATGCATACACACACACACACACACACACACACACACACACATTTCTTGTCTCCTATCTGGAGAACAACAACAAAAATTCCCAACTAGATAAATTTGTAAAAAGCATTAGCTGGAAATTCATGAACTCTAATATTTCGCCACTTCAGTTTTTCAAGTAACTGTAAGTTGGGAAAAGTTGCTTAACATTTTTTAGTCTCAGTTTAGTCATTTATAAAATAGGAATAACTAGTAGCATCAACTTCATTGTGTTGTTAAGAGTATTAAATTGGTTAATCTGTATAAAATGTTCAGTATTATGTCTGGCACATGGTAACCACATCATACACTCAAGCAAATGTTATTTTTGGAGTAAATTATTTCAAATATTTAATGAGTGCCTAGTATATGCCAGCACACTGCTAGCTAGAAGAAGGCCATTGAAATGAGTGAGTTATTGTAAATGTATAATTATAATGTGACAGTAAGGAGTTGTAAACAAGTCATCATAATATAACCCCAAAATATAACCCCAAAATAGGGTTCTTGGAAGAGGTAGCAATTTGTTCTTCCTGAGGTATCAGGGAAGATGATTTGTGAGCTACATCTACATAAACAGGACTTAAGCAGATAAAAGAAGGGAGGATGTAAAAAAGAGGAGCAAAAATAGAAAAAGTAAACATAGTGTATGTCCTGGGGGAGAGTGTTTAGAAAAACTGCAAAATGTGTAACATGTTCTTCTTCTTCTTTTTCATTGACTTGGGAGAGAGAGAGAGGGAAACACCGATTTGCTGTTCCACTTATTTATGCATTCATTGGTTGCTTCTTGTATGTGCCCTGACATGGGACCAAACCTGCAGCCTTGGGGTATGGGGCACTGAGCTACCCAGCCGGGGTCTAATGTGTTTGCCCTGTTGTAGGCACTGAAAAGGTGATGAGCAGATGCTTAAAGCCTGGCTACATAATTTGGGCTTTACCTTGGGCATGAGGAGGGCATTTGTTTTAGACCAGTGGCATAGAAAACAGTCTGAAGAGGAGCACGCTTAGGAGGGAGACATCCAAAGAGGCATAGGCTAATCTTACAATTATTCTTCTATATTTAATGTGCTGCTACTGGGTGCCCGGCACAATTTAAAGTGATGGGATTCAGCAATGACCTAGACAGGAAAGGCCCCTGCCCTCCTCTAGGGTTATAGTCTACTGCAAAGAGACAGGTAATTTAAAAAGCAAATAAGACTGACAAGATCATGAGATGTACAGAGAAGAAATAAAACTGGTTTTATGAAATAATGTGGGTGGGAAGGACTTTTTAAAAATGAAGTCAGGAAAGGCCTTTCCTTTTTTTTTTAGTTATTTTACTTTATTTATTTCTTGAAATAAAAAAATAAAAAAAGGAAAGGCCTTTCTTAGAGGAACATGGAAATGCAGAGGAAGGAGGACATCTCTGGGAGTGGGGTGGAGATGGGGACCACAGATCTGAGAAAACCCATGTGCATTTTCCTTGGAAGACACTCAAAGGAGCATGGGATCCCTTTCCCCAAGTGTTAAACCAGTGCAATTAGATGCTTAATAAAACATTTTGGGGGTTGAATCTAGAGCTGGGTGTTCAACCCAACAGAATGCAATAGTATCCATCAGCAAAGCAAAAAATTCGTCTTCAAATGACAATGCTTTATTATATCTACATCTGACAAAGATTTTTAGTATTTAGTTACATGTACAAATATATGGCAGTCACAAATGTGTAAATATTCACTTACATACTTATTTACATAATATATGTATATATAATGACATACCCATATTCTATATGTGTATATATACATGTATTCTTTCCTCTCCTCCCCCTGCTCCAAGCACTTATTTCAGGGAACTAAAGTAAGGGATATGAACTTGGAGGGCAAAATTGGCCTCCCACAATCTAAATGTATTATAGAAACAAACAAAACTTCTTTCTGCTGTGATAGCAATGACTTAGGCCTGCTTTGGGCGGGAGCACCTACTTCTTCTACTGCTTGTATTTATGGTTCTACATATTATAAGCAAAGTGGCACTTGACATACAGCTGCACCTGCGCTCAGATTAGCCTTGTCTAGCTTAGCACAGGGCACAACCCCCGGCTTCCCGTGAACCCGGAGCGCGTGGAGGCTGGAGGCTGGAGGCTGGAGGCTGAGGGCGGGCGGGGTGGGGGGGCGGGGGCTGAGGCCGTGACCCCGCCCGTCAGAGCCCCTGGCGGCCACCCACTCACGACGGGCCCCGGGGCCCAGGACGCCCCATGAGGCCCCGGGGGCGCGTGGGCGGCAGCGTCGCCGGGTGACCTCCAGGAGGCTCGGGCCTGGGCGATGGCTACCCGGGGGCGCGGGGGAACGCCGGCCGTCGTGGGCGCCCACGCTCGACGGCAGTTGCGGGGCGACCGGGAGCCCGCGGAGCCGCAGCCCCCACCCCCATCCCCACCCCCCGCTCATGTCGCCCGGCTCCGCGGCCGCCCGCGGGCCCCGCCGGCCGCCCCCCGCCGGCCGCCCGCTGCCCGCCCTGTCCTCCCGCTGCAGGAAGGCCGAGCCGGAGGAGGCGTCCGCCCAGCCGTTCGCCGCGCGCGCGGAGGCGCCGGGGCCGCGAGGCGGCTGCGCGTTGGGAGACGACGCCGGGGACGACGCGCGGGCCCGCGACGGGGCGGGGTAAGAGCAGCCCCGCCGGCCCGGCCGCGCTCCGCCAAGCCGTCCGCCGCGGGGGAGGGCGCGCCCGGGCCGTGCACCCCCCCTCCGACCCCCCCGCCCTGCCCGGCACCGATCCAGACCCGCTCCCGCTTTTCGACCCCGGGCCCCTCCGCCAGGGGCGGGGCCTTTGCCCGCGTCCGGGGCCCTCACCGGGCGCCCACCTGGGGGTCCCCTCCCCGCCCCGGGCAGCGACCTCCCTGCCCGCCTCCACCCAGCGCCGGGCACAGAGCCGGCGGCTGCACTCCCACTGGCCCAAACCTTGCCCGAACTGTGTTCCGTTTCTTCGGGATGCACCTCCCCCTCCAGGAGGCAATAAAATGGAACCGATTGGCACCAGACTGGCACTGCAGTGGCTTTACTTACGGTCTCGCACGCTCCTCTTGCACAGGAGTGGCCCAGGGCCAGGACAGTTTGCTGGGAAAGAGTGTTTGGTCCTGTGGGCCTTTCACTGCCTCTGAAACGAGCCTGTTTGGGGGCTAATTCTGTTTCACAGGGAGCACCTGTGGGTGATTAATAGCAGCGTTCACCGCCCTGCTTTTTAAGTTCCAGATAATCCATATTTTTTTTGTGATTTGTATTTTATTTTTCTATCTGATAATACCTCCTTTGTCATCCCAGACCTTAATTTCCTAATCTTCTGTTAGATCTTCCAATTTGCTTTTGACTATACACCTCCCCTCTGCCCCCTGCCCTTTTTTGGTCTGGCTTGCCCATTGTTTCCGGTTGATTTTATTTGTTACCCTCACCCTACCCTCATGGTCCCGTTCTTCTGCTTTCTAAATATGTTCTTACCCTCCTTCAGATGGGGAGCCAAAGTTCATGCTTTCTTTAAATCAGTATTGTGCCTTACCCATAAATGCGCTTGTTCCACAACCTGTATAGGATTTTAAGGACACAGAGGAGCAAAATGGGGAGAAGAAATGGTGAGAACTATGGCACCAGCCTGCGTGTGTCAAACATCTCCCATGAGGTACAGCACATGCTATTGCCCTTGAGCGTTTGGGCAGCAGCTCCCGTTGTTCAAACCGAACCCCATGGACCTGCTGCTGAGGTCCCTTGCTGCTGTCTCTTGGAGAACAGTTGTCCTGTGCTTTTAACCCCTTGGCACATTTGGAATACCAAGTGGAAAATTTTTATGTCTTGTAACAAAGAAAAAGTTAACCAGCTTCTCTCCAAATCTGGAGACATTTCTAATGACAATTGGATTTTGTTTTATTTTCTCTCACATATTTTGTGAAAAATATTAGTAAAGCAGGTGGAATTCCAAAAATAACCAATTCCCAACCTGTAAGGAATTTGCAACCTCGTTGGCTTCATGTGTGGTTGACGGCCTTCTTCCAATGGACAAACTTGGTAATATTACTTTTTTGTATGATCTCCACAGCACCATTCAGCAGCTTCCCTTTACTATGTTAATTTGAGAACGTTTCTCTCCCTTGTTATTTGATACAGTAGTATACCAGGTCACAGACATAGCTGAGAGAAGTTTGGGCATCTGTTGGAGACATTTTAAAAATACAAATAACAGGGCCATATCCTCATCCTACTAAATTAGAATTCATAGTATTTTTTTCAACTGTTATTTTTTAAAAGCTCCCTAAGTAATTCTCACATAGAGATGAGACTTCTATTATTTCAGAGAACATAGAATAATTTACTAATTTTATTTATTTTTTTAAAGTACTTTATTTATTTTTTTAAATATATTTTATTGATTTTTTACAGAGAGGAAGGGAGAGAGATAGAGAGTTAGAAATATCGATGAGAGAGAAACATCGATCAGCTGCCTCCTGCACACCCCCCACTGGGGATGTGCCCGCAACCCAGGTACATGCCCTTGACCGGAATCGAACCCGGGACCTTTCAGTCCGACGCTCTATCCACTGAGCCAAACCGGTTTCGGCTAATTTTATTTTTCAAACACCACCAAACAAAGATAATCTACAGCCTGCCTCCCAAGATTCAGCTCCCCTTCCTATCAGGAAATGATCCTTGCGGATCAGTTAAATCCTCAAACGGTATTTAAGCTTAATTCTCCCTGTTCCTCCTTAAGGTGGGGATGACACCTAACACTACCTAACATCTTACTTGTATATTGCTTAGAATTTAATTTACAAATGATTTCCTCATTTGAGACAGGAAAAAACTGAGTTCATGTCTAAAAAACATTACTTTAAAAAATAATCACCTCTTCCAGGATAAATTATTACAATCCTCTCCTACACATCCCACATTTTCCCCCCATAGCACTCAGCACAATGTTTGGAACATAAACACTCAGTTGATATTTGTACATTTTCTTATTCATTTTTTTAGTATTTCCTCAGTGTTTTCAACATCTGAAGCCCAGAATGAGTAGTGGGCTGGTCATTGAGTATAATGTGAGGATTAGGAATTTCCTTTGGTTGATTTATAGGCTTTCAGATACAGAAACTGGTGAATTTTACACAATGAAGTGGACATTATATTTTAAACTCAATTTTGAAAACCCGTGTGCCATTATTTTTAAGAAAGTGAGACTGAAACCATAAGTTATTGTAAAAGCCTTTCCATTTCCTGACTAATAAGTGTTATCAAGCTGATAATAACTTGATAAGAGAACATTGATATTCCTCAGATATGCTGGTAGTACCCTTATAGGTGGCAGAGGGGTCATGAAACTTTGTGCCTTTTGTCACACTCTACCCAAAGGACATGTCAAATGATGTACTTGAGCTTTTTAAAATTTTCTTAACATTAAGTTTATCCTAAAACAAATATTGTTGTAGAATTTATCTCACTGGAATTTGGATTCAGAAGTACCTCTTCCTGAGAATAAAAACCTCCCACCTGGAAGGGATAGTGCAGCAGGTGGTAAGAAATCCTAGATGTCTATATACTTATATTTATAAATATATGAAAATGTACTCATATGAATAACCACTCATATAAAAGGGGGTTTGTTTTTAGTACAACCAATTTTATGTAACTATTAATTGTTATTTTTTATACACATTCTTTCAGGCAAAATTAACAAGGTAAGGATAAATGTTTGGCTTTAAATAATTCACAAAACATTATTTTAAAATTAAATGTTATATTCTTTAAAAAATTCTTTACTCAAAGTTAAACTTTATATTTCATGTCTGTAGAATTCTTTAATCAACTTAAAGTTGTTGTTTTTTACGGCTGCAAATTGGTCATTAAATTACTATTTGGTTTTGTTGTTTTTTCAATATACAATACTATATATGGAAATTATAGTGAATATAGTATTTTCTAATCACTGCCAAAGGTAATGGTCTCAGCACTTAAAATATCTTAAAGCAGTTGAAATGGTTAATATTTTGTTTTGAAGTAGTGAGAAAATTAATTTCATTTACCTTTTTTTGATCAAACTATAAAACACTTAACTTTTAGTAAAATACTGATAACCTTAACAGTATTCAAGGCTCATTAGTTAACACTGTTTAGTTGGTATTTATAAGATTATACTAATTCCTATGAAGACAGCAAAAACAAATGAAATCTGTATGTCTTCAAAGGAAAAACAAATGACATCTGTATGTCTTCAAAGGAATATATATTACTATATATTTCTTTATTGGAACTACATATCCCTTAGTTACAACAACTATCAGTCTTAGAATAAGAGTAGGCACAGAGATAGATTGTGCTTAAAAGTCTTCTGCTGCTTTATAGAACCATTTGGAAATTCCAGTAGAGCAACTGATGCTAAAACTTAATTTGTCAGAGCATGCTCACAAAAGAACACAGGTGGGATTTTATTCATCATACTCCTTTCCTAAAGTATTATTTTCTTTAAATGCATGTTACTAAAGTGTTGCCCATGGCTTTTCTGTTATCAGAATAGTAAACAAAGGACATTTCAGTTATGGAGTTATCCTCTTAAAGAAGGAAGTACCATGGACAACAGGTAAGAGGATATTTTTGTAAACCCCTAAATTTGTGAAATAAATTTAAATACAGATGAGTTAACTATTTATCTGAAATGCTAGGACAAAAAACTACTAGAAGAAAATGTATTGTGTCCAAATAATGGGAAAGTATAGAAACTCACACTAAACTAGAAAGTGACTGGCAGACACCACAGAGATAATCAGTATATGGGTAATTGAGAGTTTACTATGCCGTTACAATTGAGGGTTTTGATGGATAGAGTTTAGAATTCTTATTGAAGGGGAAAGGAATTGTAATAGGAAAGTAATATTCCATGTGCTAGGAACAATTTTAATTTCTTGTATATATTAACTCATTTAATCCTCACAACAATCCCATACGTAGGTAGCTATCATCATCTCTGTTTTACAGATGAAGACACTGAGGCATGAGGACAAGTTAAAGAACTTACCCAAAGTCATACAAGTAATGAATGGTAGAATGTAAAAGTAGCTTGATTCATGCTCATAATCACTATTGTATATTGCTTCTCAGACCTTACCTGGATTTGAATTCTTATATTTTGGTTCTTAAACTTTAGTGTGCATTAGAATCAGCTATAACGCTTCTGAAAAATGCAGGTTACTATTATTTGGAAATTAACATTTATTGAACACCATTATGTGTTACTTTTACATAGAGTGTATTATTTAATGGAGCACTTGAGGCAATAGAGTGGTTACTTGATAGCAGACATCTCCTAGTCAGAGGGTTTTTACACTTTGTGAGGCTCAGGATACTGCTAAAATTTGAGGGGGGAAACCAAGAAATGTGAAAGAGATTGTATTGATTAATGTCCTTAAGGTAATGTTGGTGCTGATGAGGATAGGAAAGGCTATTTTTACTAGAGAGAACTCGACTGGGAACAAGGATTTCAAGGTAAGAGGTCAAATGAAATGATTTCTATTATACTAACAGAAGAGCAAACAGTAGATTGCAGCTAGGGTCCCAGACATGGGATCCTACCACCTGAGTTTAAATCCCAGCTCCACTAGATGTGTGACCTTAACCGCTTTGCCTCATTTACCTTACCCATAAAAGGTAGAACATAAAAATGCCTATTTCATGAGGTTATTGTGAGGACTAAACAGATTAATGTGTTTGACAGACATTTGCTGTTAATATTACAGAGTTGGAAATGTTATCAATGAAATATTTCATTATGGAGATTTTTTTTCACTTCAATATAACATCAACAAGAGAATAAAAGTAATGGTAACTCATTCAGTGTTTAACATTTTTGCAAAGTATGTTCATATAATCATTTTATTTCTTAGACCACCTCCAAGGGAGGCGTTCTCATTTCCATTATGCTCAATGTTGAAAAAGGGGTTCAAACCTAGGTCTTCTGTCCCTAACCATGTTCTTTTTACTACACTACAGGGATTGTGTCTATTATCAATTGCAGATTTAAAATAATCTTTCTGTGGTTTTTCAAAGGCAAGTCGGGGGTTGGGGAACGTCCAGCCCCATGAAATCATTTGGTCTGGCCCTGCCATGGTATTAGGGATGAGTTAAATGTTTGACCAAATATAGCAGGCTAATTTTTAAGTTGATAATTTTGTATTGTCCACTTATTGTGTTATAAATATCCCAATGACTCTTGGCAAAAAAAAAAAAAAGGTTCCCCACCCCTGAAAATGAATAAATTAACATATTCTGTAGAAATGAAAACATTTTTCACAATCTTTCGAGATTACTTTGCTGTCTTTACTATAAATTGGCTTTAAAAGAAGCAAGAATTAATGAAACTATATTCAGTGTCCCCCCAAAAATGTATACACACAATGTCTATAGATTCTATTACATTTTAAAAATGAAATATATTTTAATAAACACTGCCTTTATAATTATTCAAAGTATATATACATTTTTTAGAACACCCTGTACATGTCATTTAATCAATCAAATCTTTCAATGTCAGTATTTCTAGTAGGCCTTTTTTTAAAAAATTAAATCTTTATTGTTCAGATTAGTTGTTCCTCTTTTTTCCCCCCCATAGCTCCCCTCCACCCGGTTCCCCTCCCCCCACCCTCTGCCCTCCCCCCCGCCCACTGTCCTCATCCATAGGTGTACGATTTTTGTCCAGTCTCTTCCCGCATCCCCCACACCCCTTTCCCCCCGCCCCCGAGAAGTCAGTCCACTCCCTTTCTATCCCCTGATTCTATTATAATCACGAGTTTATTTTGTTCATCAGATTATTTATTCACTTGATTTTTAGATTCACTTGTTGATAGATGTGTATTTGTTGTTCATAATTTGTATTTGTACCTTTTTCTTCTTCTTCCTCTTCTTAAAGGATACCTTTCAGCATTTCATATAATACTGGTTTGGTGGTGATGAACTCCTTTAGCTTTTCCTTATCTGTGAATCTCTTTATCTAACCTTCAATTCTGAATGATAGCTTTGCTGGATAAAGTAATCTTGGTTGTAGGTTCTTGCTATTCATCACTTTGAATATTTCTTGCCACTTCCTTCTGGCCTGCAAAGTTTCTATTGAGAAATCAGCTGACAGTCGTACGGGTACTCCCTTGTAGGTAAATGACTGTCTTTCTCTTGCTGCTTTTAAGATTCTCTCTTTGTCTTTTGCTCTTGGCATTTTAATTATGATGTGTCTTGGTGTAGTCCTCCTTGGATTCCTTTTGTTTGGAGTTCTCTGTGCTTCCTGGACTTGTAAGTCTATTTCTTTCACCAGGTGGGGGAAGTTTTCTGTCATTATTTCTTCAAATAGGTTTTCAATATCTTGCTCTTTCTCTTCTTCTGGCACCCCTATAATTCGGATGTTGGTATGCTTGAAGTTGTCCCAGAGGCTGCTTACACTGTCTTCGTATTTTTGGATTAATTTTTTATTTTGCTCTTCCGGTTGGGTGTTTTTTGCTTCTTCCTATTTCAGATCTTTGACTTGATTCTTGCAATCCTCTGGTCTGCTGTTGGGAGTCTGTATAATATTCTTGATTTCAGTCAGTGTATGCTTAATTTCTGGTTGGTCCTTTTTCACAACCTTGAGGGTCTCACCAGACTTATTGAGGATCTCATTAAATTTATCAGTGGTCTCACTAGATTTCTTGAGTGTCTTAAGTTTATCGGCGGTTTCTAGAAAAAATTCTTGAAAAACCTTAAAAGTGTGGTTTTGAACTCTATATCCAGTAGTTTGCTTTCCTCCATTTCTGTCATTTGTGACCTGTTTGTCTCCGCATTTTTTATGCCTCCCTGTGTTGATAGAGTGGCTTTCTGTGCTAGGTGTGCTATAGGGCCCAGTGGCTCAGCCTCCCCAATTACCTGAGGTGGACACTCTTGGTGCACCCCCTTGTGGGCTTTGTGCACAGTCTTGTTGTAGTTAAGCCTTGATTGTTGTAGGTATCACTGGGAGGAATTGACCTCCAGGCCAATTGGCTGTGAGAATCAGCTGTGTCTGCAGTGGGAGAACTTCTGTGCTGGAGACACCCTTCTGGGGCAAGACTTCCTTCAATGGGGCTTTGGTGCTCACTGAGTCTGCCCCCTGAGTGTGTCCCTTATGGATCTGAGGAGTTGTAATCTGGATGGTCCCACTCTGACCACTGGGTACACTGGCTCTTGGATCTCTAAGGAGGTGCTAATTTAGCCTCTGCCTGAGGCTATCCAGCAGGAGCTCAGCTGTGAAGGAATGCAAGCTGCTGTGGGACATTGGGCCAGCTGCAGTTTGTTAGGTAATTTTCAGATTGCAAAGGGCCAGGCCTTTCATATGCAAAAGCCAGCACACAGCTTTGGCGGGGCGGGGTCCCAGGGGATCAACAGGGCGGAGCAAGCAGCTATGGCTACTCCTCAGTCCTACCCTAAGAGGCCCTGAGTCTCAGTGTCCGGTAATCGCTGCAAGCACCTCTGAGAGAAAGCCACCGTCGAGGTCCAACCGATGTCAGACAGTCTAGCCCCGGGGTGGGCAAACTTTTTGACTCGAGGGCCACAATGGGTTCTTAAACTGGACCGGAGGGCCGGAACAAAAGCATGGATGGAGTGTTTGTGTGAACTAATATAAATTCAAAGTAAACATCATTACATTAAAGGGTACGGTCTTTTTTTTCAATAGTTTTATTCATTTCAAACGGGCCATATCCGGCCCGTGGGCCGTAGTTTGCCCACGGCTGGTCTAGCCTCTCCCCGTATGAGTCTGGGTCACCAGAGACTCAACGGGAACTGGAGTTCAGAGCAGTTGGGAGCTTGAGACTCCCTCCCGAATTGAAAAAGACAACCATGTCCTCAACTGCCAGCCCTTTCCACGTGCGCCTCCATACCTCTGCACTTTACTTCCACATGGCACCTCCTCTGAGTCTCAATGTGCTTTTCTCTTTCCTTCTAGTTGTAGAATTTCCACTCGGCCAGCCTTCCTATGGTTCTGGATGATGTCTGTTTTCTTTTAGTTGTATTTTTGAAGTGGTTGTTCGAGGCAGCAATTTCCGGTGTTTACCTATGCCACCATCTTGGTTTCTCCTCTAGTAAGCTTTAACAAAAACTGACTACAAACTAAACTCAGTATTCTATGGCCTGGGTTTTTTGCAGTTTTCAATTTAACATAAAACCCAGAAGTATTTACTCCTAAAGCAAAAGAGCACCATCAGATGAAAATTACTATGAACTATATCTGGGGTAATTTTTGTTTGATTGACATTGTTTTGCTTTCTTTTTTTTTTTTTATTAGAATAATTTTTTAAAACTATAATCGCTAAAGTAGAATCCGTTATTAAGTAACCTAACTAATTTCTTAGTCTCTTTATCTAATTCTGGGTCAATAAACATTTCACTGTAATTTCAGTTTGAGTTATATATAGCCTCCTTTTCAGACAGCATAATTGCATATACAATATAGACATAGGCAAACAGATAGAATTAGCCACTTTTAACCTATGGCCATTCATAGCCACAGTTAACCATTTGTAATGGTTACAATGATCTCATAACCTGTGTATGCACAAGGGGATGCCCAGTTAACATTTTAATTCTTTTAAAATGTATATAGTTTATAATTAGAGCATATTTGAAAATTAGCATATTTCTGTTAAGATAGATATGCACATTCCATTGGGAACTAAACATTAAGTAGTCTTTGATAAAGGTTACATGTTATCATTTAATAGCCTTTTAATTCTAGTCAACAAGCCATTCATTAATTAAATCATTTTTAAGGGATTTCAAAAAACCTTCAATGGAAATTGGCTTTAATACAACCAACAATCCCATAAGGCTCTTCACTCTGAACCACTCACTAACAAGTGCTCCAGCTGATAAGCAAGTTGGTTCTTACTCTGAACTGCTGACGCCATTAGGTCTCTGCTGGCCCTATGCTGATGGAGATTTTTTTAAGGACAGAAATGACTCTCTTAATAATTTATGTTCAACTATAGAAAACAACAATGGTGAAACTTTATCTGCTCCAACTTGGAATTTGAAATATAGAAACAGCAGTGTAGAAGAAAATTTAACAGATGAAAGTGATTTATCAGAAAATGAAAAAGCAAATGATACTTTACTCAGCTGTTTTAAAAAGATGGACCTGAACTTAAAGCCAGAAACAATAGAAAATGTTGAAGAATCTTTCACAGAAGAACCAAGTGAAGTATTTCCATATCCTGATTTTCTCCCTCCTCCTTTCAATACTCTGGACTTGCACAAATTAGCCCTCTCAAAATCTGAAAATTGGAAAGCAGCAGTGGAATCTCCAGAAAGCTGTATTGAACCTTTGATAACTCGTTTATTAGAAATGGAACGACTACAACATACTACTATACAAAAAGAGAGGCCAAGATTACAAACTACCTTCTGTACTCCAGCAGTTACTGAACGACCCTTTTCCTCTAAAACTATACCCAAAATGAGACAGCCAAAAGTTTCTGACTCTGTAAGTCTTCAGACAACTTGTGTAGATAAAACTAGAGAAAAAAGGAAAAAGAATTCTGCTTCTTGCAAGCTTGAACAAAATGCTTCACAATGGAATTGGAGCAGTGCTGGCAAATATAAATGGAATTCTAGACCACCATCGCTAAAAAGTTCATCCACAACAAAACAATTGGTGGCAACTTATGATGACTTTAAAAATCCCCAAAGCTCCATTTTAAATCCATGCCAAGAACTCTCAACCAATGCTACTACTGCCCAGTCAACTCAATCACTGGTTAAAGTGGTCTCAACAAGACCCTGTCTGCCACCAAGGTCTCTAATACCAGTTTCACCTATACCTCTGTCTTTTTCTGAAAATCAGAGGGAAGAAATGAAGGCACCAAGGACCAAAAAGAAACTTTACCGAAAACATATAGCATTGAACAGGCCATTCTATATTCAGAATCTAAACTGTCTATCACCTTCATTTAGAGCTAAGGGTAAGTGCTCACCCATTGAGCAAAAATAACATTTCCCCCCATACATCTCTATATGAGCAAATCTTTCAAGAAGCCCAGCTAAAATATGGTTCATCATTTCGAGATGCAGGTATTAAACACACACACAGTACTTGATGTGATATTGAGCAGAACCTGTGGAAATCACTGCTGGGATCGGTGACGTATCAACCCAAGGTGACATATTGGACAATCTTTTGTATGTTGTTTCAAAATGTTTCGCTTAGTAAACTATTCTACTCAAAAGATTGTTCTTTTGTTGTGATTGTTTCCCAGTATAATTCTATCAATAAATTGCATAATTGACTTATTGTTGCTGTAATTATCCTTGTGCTCTATTATACACACGTAAGAGTTAGTTACCTCTATCAGTGATTTTAAAAAATTCTTCCCACTCTGTTATCTTTTTTCTTTCCCTTCCCATCTCCACAATCTCTTCTATTATTTTGACCTATCATTTGGGTATTTGGCCATTAAATGCTAAGGAAGTTGCTGTTTTGTTAATATACAAGATCCTCATGGTTTTCCTATGACTTCTTAGAAACCTTCCATTTCCCATGCCCTTTTTATTTAAAAATAAGATTGATTCTTTTGGAGGCCTAACTGTAGTTTTAGGCATGAAACAACCCTCTTCCACTCAAATCTAATAGTTTTTAAATGTCTAAGGAAAAATGGGAAAAAAGTCAGTCCACAGAGAAGCCAGAATTTCATGTAAAGAAATCCCCTCCACCCCCGACCCAGGCTCTTTGTTGCTGTAAGTCTTAACCCTGGCTAGTTGAAACTAAGCTAAAGCTTAACTCATTAACTAGTAAAAAGGGAAACTATGATTGACACTTACTGTACCTAAGAATCAGGAACACAAAAAAGTAGAGTTCAATTGCAGGCTTACAAAAACAGAATCTTTGGGAGTGGGGCCCGGGACCTACAAAATAAACATCCCAGATCATTTTAATGCAGGTGGTTCTCAGATCATACTCTGAAACACACTGTAAAGGAAAAACTTGATGTAATATGCTTAGCTCAGAGTTTGAATATTTGGGGGGGGGGGGGGATGCTTTGGTTTTAGTGAATGGTTTAGTTTTTCTTAAATGTTAAAATAAAGCCACACATGAATGAAACTCCAAACATTACCCCCCAAAGGTAAAAATGAAAAGTAAAAGTCCTCTCCCCATCCCCAAACCCTCACACAAAGGCAGTCAGGGATTCACACACACACACACACACACACACCAGATAAGATGGAATATTTGTGGTAGAGATGAGATGAATAAAAGGATAATTCAAATAAATGTTGAGGAGAGCAACTATAGTTTAAATCCACTCTCTATAGGAGAGTAGGGAGGAACATTTTAGAGGCAGTGGTAATCAGGGACCAGTCTGTCAGGAGTTACATGAAGTTGATCATACACTAAAGGACTGCTTTGATTCTTTGGACTGTGTGTGCGTGCGTGTGCATGTTGGGGATGGGAAAGGAGGGAGGTGTACAGGGAAGATAAGGGCAAATTTTTCTTTGGAAGCAACCAGGCTACTTTATCCAGGACAGTGATGGCGAACCTATGACACCCGAACTCATTTTATTGGTTGATTTTTCTTTGTTAAATGGCATTTAAATATATAAAATAAATATCAAAAATATAAGTCTTTGTTTTACTATGGTTGCAAATATCAAAAAATTTCTATATGTGACACGGCACCAGAGTTAAGTTAGGGTTTTTCAAAATGCTGACACGCCGAGCTCAAAAGGTTCGCCATCACTGATCTAGGATGTCATTAGACCTAAATAAAAGGAGCTACTGCAATACCTTCCAGATCATTAAAATATATTAGCAGCATTGATGATTTCAATTATGAAGCAGAGACACAAATAATTTTAATATCATGATCACTCAGTAAAAATATAGTCGCCAGGAATCATTTTTCCATTAAACCTGAGCTCTAAAATGAGGCTAAGTTGTGTGTAGGAAGTGCATATAGCCACCTCAAGTCCATTTTGTAGGGTGATAGGGGAAACAACTTGGTTCAAATAGGCAACACATACAACTTAGAGAAACTCACCATGGGTGATGGGATGAGGGGAATGTAGTTATAAACAAATTCAAATATTTGTCTATTTACCAGTCCTGTTGAGACACACTTTCATGATTATTTTTGAATATACACTTGGAAAACTTTGTAACAGAGACATATAATAAATAATTCTGTTCAGGAAATGTAAAACTTGGCTTGCTCATAAATTCCCACATTTAGATCTCCAGACCTAAACTTAACTCTTTGGATCTTAACAGAGAAATTCTTTTTCATCAGTAAGAGAAAGCACATGTAGAAAATGGCTTTTCTCTTGAAGGTTTGCAGCAATGTCCTCCCCAACCCAATACTCTGTGAATTACTTTCCCTAATAAAAACAGTATCTCATGGCCTTTGTCAACCACTTTAGATAATTATACAGCTCTTAATTTTCTGCCAGCCCAAGTAGAAAACTACACTCGGGGCCTTTACAAGGCTAGCCACAGCCACTGCCTTTTAGCCCAATTCTTTTAAAAATCAAGGCTCAACCAAACTAGTCTACTGGCCTCTCGGTGGCAGGTAGCTCCTGGTGGTCCAGTATATTCTACGAAGCCAGACACCGGCCCTTCAACCTCCAATCCTGCTTTGCATGTGTTAAAGATGCACAGGACCTCATAAATATTTTATTCACTGTTTTAAAACATTGAAGACATTTTCTTAAGAGAAGAAAATGAAGAGTGAGTAGACTGAGGATAAGCGTCAGGCATCCCCACCTGCAATAAAGTAATTTATTTAAATCATTACAGAAAGGGAGTTATCTCATTGCTTATTATGCTTCTATTACTAAGAAAGCCAAATTAAAAATACATGTAAAAGAAAATATGAACACAATTCCCTTTGGTGTATGTTCTGCACTTAGTTGCTTAGAAAATGTTTTGATATCTGAAAGGATGATCACACTAAATTGGCTGATTCCAAGCTGCAGGTTCTGTGAAAGGACAGATTCTGCAGAGTAGTTTGGTAAGCTTCTCTCCAACACCTTTCCTCATCACTGAGACTCACCTAGCACATCAGATGTCTTCTGAGAACTTTTAAAGTAAATATTTAACTTTAATCTAACCTGGCAGTTCCCAATCATATTTTAGCACAGAATAATTTTCGAAGCACATCTGTGACCAGCAGTGAAACAGCACCTAAGAAATATCAGGTAAGAAATGGTGTCTTTAATTTAAAACTTAACATAACCAAGCAAAGAAAAAAATCAGGAGACAATATAGTAACAAGTGGCATATTTTATTATATTTTCCCCAATATGTTGATTGGGAACATTGCTGCTAAAATGCACGTTACAATTCAAATGATACCACAAACAATTAGAATGCATACTGAGTATTTTCAGATTTCAGCTTCCATATCTTGATCACTAAATGGAAAGATTCTTCAGAAGAACAGTCCCTTACCCTACATATAGAAGGAAAAGAACAATTAAAGATGCCATGATGATATCTATCAAAATAACTGGAAAACATTTTAAAACTCAATTTAGTGTATGTTATTGACATGTGAAAAACACAGATGAATGTGTACTGAACATCTCTATAAGGAGGACCTTCTATCTAAGAGAATGATAAAATTCATGTTGAATATCTGAACTGAACTAGGATACTATGAAGAAACATTTTATGAAGCCCAATTTTAATAATGTCATTATAACTAAGGGAAGGAGGTTAAACATTTGAATAACTGGCTTCTTTCTTATCTCCAACATTTAAAAGGGCATTCTGTAACTACTTGGCATAACTTTTCAGGTATGTGATTCCTTTGTTTCATTCCAGAGATTTTATTTCTACTTAGCCAGCTAAAGTTCTGCTACAAAATGATAGATTAAGTATAGTATTTGTTCTCAGTCATGGAACACATCTGAGAACATTACATTTCACTGCCTCTACGACATACCATAAAACATAGATTTTCGTATTATAAAAATGGCCTGAGTATTTGTTTTAGTTAGGGGGAAAAGTGGTGATTATAACGGTAAAAAGTAAAAAATTCTTTTAAAACATAAAATTATTTTTGAGAAAAAGTAGAGTGGAATGAGCTAGGCATTGTGGAATGAAACAGGATGCTAGCAATGATGATTTAAGGGTAAATAAAAATACTGGATGGTTTTAAGGTTTATGACAAGATGCTTCATCCTTTCAAAGCCTCAAAATTCCAACCTACTTTATGATAACCTTCAAGAATAAGGTCTACCTAGGACAGTGATGGCGAACCTATGACACGCGTGTCAGAGGTGACACCCGAACTCATTTTATTGGTTGATTTTTCTTTGTTAAATGGCATTTAAAGCCCTAACCGGTTTGGCTCAGTGGATAGAGCATCAGCCTGCGGACTCAAGGGTCCCGGGTCAAGGGCATGTACCTTGGTTGCAGGCACATCCCCAGTGGGGGAGGGGGTGTGTGTGCAGGAGGCAGCTGATCGATGTTTCTCTCTCATCAATGTTTCTAACTCTCTATCCCTCTCCCTTCCTCTCTGTAAAAAATCAATAAAATATATTTTTTAAAAAATGGCATTTAAATATATAAAATAAATATCAAAAATATAAATCTTTGTTTTACTATGGTTGCAAATATCAAAAAACTTCTATATGTGACACGGCACCAGAGTTAAGTTAGGGTTTTTCAAAATGCTGACACGCCGAGCTCAAAAGGTTTGCCATCACTGACCTAGGACCTTATTTAGAACTGTGTCCAAAATGTATATGCTTCCTTAAAATCTCAACTATTCCCCCAACTACAGAAAGAACTATGACACCTTTGAGAGTTATGTCCTAAGACGTACGAGCACTGAAGTCTGACAATCACTTGATATACTTGATATCATTTTTGCCAGAAAGTGTGTAATAAAGCAAAACCTTCATGAGATAATTATATTTGAAAACTATATAGCTACTCTGAAACATGAATGCAGGTTTTTAAAAGATTATTCACTAAATACCTCAATCCAACAGAGGTCTTAGAGTTCCAAATTTCTTCCTCAGCAATATTACAAATTCAAATAATGTCATTTATATAGACTGTTTACAGGGTTCCTGTTTAATAGATTAATTTAGGAATACTTTATTTGGGAATATAAAAGATCAAAATTATATCACCTCTCATTTCCCTTAAGAAGAAAAACTGGCCAAAACCAGTTTGGCTCAGTGGATAGAGCGTCGGACTGCGGACTGAAAGGTCCCAGGTTCGATTCCGGTCAAGGGCATGTACCTGGGTTGCGGGCACATCCCCAGTGGGGGATGTGCAGGAGG